TTCCATCAAACGGACTTTAAAATGAATGGAAAAACCGAGTTGTAAAAGTCAAAATGAGCTATAGTTGCAGAGGAGATATTTTTTCGTATTTTTTGACTAATAACATTTTAAAAGGGGTTCAACGGGATCATTATTCCTTGGCTAAAATTGGGTGGGGGTGTACCGAAATACAGAATTTTTACGTTCATAGGTAACTTGAAGCTCACGAGGATAAAATGTACCCGGAAACGAGCTTTTATGCTAAGTGTATGGATTAAGCTTATTGTTGGATTAAACTCATAACTCACCGGGCCGAGAACATCTGAGTTCCCCGTCGGTGCAGACACAGCGGCCAGCGTGAGTAACGAGATGTTGAGCGGGCTCCACCGTGATAAGGGAGGTCTTTTCGGCACCTATCCCCTCTGCCACTCCCGTTGCCGGTGCAGTCTGTGAAGCTACCAAGGAGGCCGCGCTCAGCACCTCCTTCTCGCCCTCGGGTGTGAAGATGCTGACAAAGCGTGGCAGGCCCTTGTGCATCGGCGCTTCCTCCAACCAGTTGATTGTTGCTACCGCCACTGAGCACTTTTTTGTGCCTGCAGATGGGGTAAGAGTTAAAAAAGGTTTTATAGTCAGAACGATGTCTTACAACTTATTCTAATTCATGCTCCAGATGAACAATGGAAATCACCTAAACGAAGAATCGTGAAGATGTTAAAATCACTTATTTTTGCCTTTGGCCGAAATTCCGCATAAAAGGCGTCTGGTAAACAGAGTACGCCTACTAGAAAGTAAAAACTTTCGAATTAATTCATTAATGCAGGTTGGCTAAAGGAGGGTTTGATGGACGAATCCAATGGAATCTACTAGATATACGGCTACGATCTGAATAGGCAAGCATTTAAAAATCCATTATTATTCTCCCAACAAACTCAAAAGTAGTTATAAGCATCTTTGTAATGGCTTTGTCAAAGGTCCAGAAGCATAGATGGTATGATTAGAGTGTCAGAGTCAAACATTTCTATGAAATACAGTTTTGTTTCTTAGTTCTAAAATATTTTTCTCATGCTTTCTGCATTTACTATTCCTAGCGCATTTCAATCTCCAAATCGGATAAAAGTCACTCTTTTCTGAGAGCATCACTTCCTTACTTGTTGGAAGTTTCCCTGTTCAATGGTGATAATGGGTCATTTGGTCCGACTCTTTTGATCAGCCTCCGCATGTAAGGCTCCCTTTATTCAAAGTAAGGGGAATTGTGTCGATTGCTCGAAAATACTACTAAATGTGGCCTTGCCCTATTTTTAACTGAGAGTTATGGACGAAAATTGTTGTTTGGCTACTTATGTTGGACTTTTACGGGTCATCATAAGCTAGAATCTAGAAGAAACAAAAAGTTAGTTTGGTAGCTATTCACGCTTACATCTATGATGGTGAAACCAATTGCAAAAACTTATTTATCAAGTCAAAGTATTTAATTCCTTGGGCTAGACACAATATTTTGAATCGGATACCTTCCGATTTTGGAGACAAATGACTCAAGGGTCGTTCGCCATTCTGGAAGCTCATGCGATTTCTAGTCAAACCTACTGATCCATCTCGTTAATGTAGGAATTACATGGTAAAGCAGTGGGAAAACCATTAGAAAGGCATTGGCCTTCACGTCATAAGAAGAATTAGCTGTGAGCGGTTCCACCGATCCTTCTGCGCATAATTCAAAGAATCGTTAAGGCAAACGCTTTAGAAATGTCATTAAAAACGCTTACAAGAAAATTGTCTAATTTTTGTCCCCAGAACACCTCATTATCAAAGTGATTTAAAAGCAAGGGGCGATATGTAGGCTAAAGGTATGTAGGAAGGATTAGACATTCACGCCTTCACGTCCGCGCAGATCACACAACTCATTCAAGTTTACCAAATACGCAGTTCTTGAGTACTAGGAAAAAGATGGTCCCTTTTCAAGTCGTTCCAAACGGGTCTATTTGACTGATCACACGGATTGCATGAGATAACATTTGGACATTAAATAAAAGCCTTCAAACGCTAGTAAATGGACTGCTTAATGTCAATAGGAGCCAATTTATCCTTCAGTGCAACTACAACACAACCGCTCGGGATCGTAAGTTTTATTTGAACATTAAATTAATCAGAAATTTCGATTTTGTCCCATTATTTTATCTGAATAAGGCAATTTCTGACTCAAAATAAGGTTTAACAACTTATACAATAACGAATCGTTTAAAGCCATCTCAGCTTCCCATTTTCGTCCAAATTTATTCCTCAACTATTTCCACTCGACCAAGTTGCGTTATGATAAAAAAAACTAAAATTAAGATGTTTATAAAGCCGAGTGAAGGGGATTTTAACGTGGATGTTAAAGTATTTTCGTTTACTTGCCGCCTCCTCCAGTCATTCTTTCGCAATGTGTGTGAGTAGCAATGGAAGGTTTGCCCGAGTATCTCCCCTCGCACGCTTAAGGCAGGTTACGCATTTCCCCCTTTTCCCGGGGAGGCGAATCAACCCCATCCAGTCGCACGCGTTAAGATGACCCAGAATACTGCCTGACTAGGGTGTTAGCCCCTCCCTCTAGCGCAAAATTTCCCTGCTAAAGTTTGGGGAGGAATTGCTAAATGCATAGCAATCCCCTCCTAAGCATATTTAATAAACCAGATTTAAATTCATATTTGCATTGTATAGATATTTGAGTAATTTAGAAGTCTATAGTAGAAAAAGTGCTTTAGCTGATTAGGTCTCCCTGTCTCTCAAAGCCATAGAAATGCTTATCCAAAACACTACAATGGATCAAATCACAGTAGATTTAAATTGACAAAACTACTTCCATGTCATTATCATGAGGTTCATTGCGATGAAATCGCCAAACTGAAAAAGTGGTTTGAAATTTATCTAAACTTAAGTTTGCTTCAATTTCTACATAAGACAGCCTAGATGGTTGACCGGCTTTCAAATGAAAGAGTTTATTGTGATACAATGAGGTTCCAGCTTCATTTATAATATCATAGTTTTTCGTGGTGGGTTGTGGACGTGATTAATGATTGGGGACAAAAAGTTACTTGAAATCCGAAGGATTGGGACAACCACAATATGCCTTAAACCCTAAAATTATCTTCAAAGTATTACAAGTCAATATTTTTACAAAATAGACTATCCACTCTTACACGTCCAAATGTCACCTTTTGTTGAAAAAGCGTTGTTGCCATGTTCCAACTTCTGTGCCTTTCAAGGTGGTCCCATATTTCCCTCTCAGCCCGTTGTTTGTAGGCGTTTCGCGGAAAGTGCAAATAGCATTGCCTTTCTTCTATTTTTGTGGAGTCTTGTCTATTACCGTTCAATCTGACACCGACCATGGCGCATCCTCTGCCCTCGTAACGACACTTCTTTTTTAACCCAGATCTCTCCTCTTCTTGACAGTTTTATGTTTGTGCCCTTTTGGGGATGTTGGGTAAAGGCCGTCAGTAACCCCAAAAAAGCGTCTCTAGTCAATACCACATTGCTGTCAGAGTATCGACACCATGCAAAAAGTAGTTCCATGGACAGTCAATTGTCAAAAAGCTCTCTTGAGGGTTCCTACTAGATGGTTCTGCGAGTTGCGGTTTACACGGCGTCCTTTATTGTCACCTCTGCTGTTCTTAATTTTATGGGCCGAGATTTTGTCACTTGCGCTGCCAGCATGTCATGTATACCAGGCCCAGGCAGGAAAATGTGAGCCTGACATCCCAGACATGGGACACGCTTCCTCATTTGTTTGCAATACCTAGTTGCACTAAATCATACAGAAAAACGACTTGTTAAGTCTAGAACGAGGGAAGAGGGATGAGATGTTTTTATTTTGAGAAAACCCTAATTTTCGGACATTGACCATCAAATGAGGTAGTCAGTTCGACTGCAAACGAGATAGTCTTCACCAATCACTTTTACCTTAATCAGGACTGTGATTATACTTAATGGGCAAAATGTGAACTACACTTCTGCTACATTTTATAGAACTGGATTGTAGAATCGTATGAAATAGTTCCGCCAGGCATGTTCCCATGATCACACTAAGTAGTTGAATTGCCTTTTGGCTTTACGTGCCAAAAGATACCATAATATGACCCCTGAGAAAGTTTAGCATATGAAACATGCCTACAAAAGGTTACAGCTTCCCTAATTGAATCCACTGCCCGGTTGTTTTGAGTATGTATTTGACCTAATGACTAAATTAAGCCTACGCACCCGAACTTCACACAAGTCCATTCGAAATCGCAGGAACATTTGTTGCAATAAGTGGGACACATTCCAAATCCAGATTCCCATTTCCTTCAATAGCAGTCATCCCATTGGCACGTCTCTTTTTCTCCCCTAAGCCGAATCGTTATGCGCAAAAAGTTTCAAATCCTCCTGGAAAAGTCACATCACCTTGCTTATCATTTTTCAACTCCACATACGATGTTCCCAATTTTTGCTAAATGTGTGGTTGTCAGTGGATCTATTGGTCTCAAATACAGATAATATTTTGAAATGAATGAATAGAAACCCATGTTCTGTCTTTCTTATTGAGTTCGGAATAATGAGAGAGTATAAAAGATTTTTAACATTAGAGTTTCGTGTTTTGAACAAAAAAACAGCTAAATGGATTCTAACAAAGCGTTTTAAAAGGGTGGATGAAATAGAAGAAATAGCTAACCGTAATGGGCAAACGGATTAAGTGAGCGTTGAGTTTAAAACCAGACTTTTATTTTATTTTAGAGGTGAATACAATAAGGGCATTGGTTAATCGGGGGGTAAGTTTTTTTGTGCTATTCATCGGATGCAAAAAAGCGTGGACGTACTTTTTTCGCAGAAGACATTGCATTGATAGACACTACACGGAAAGTTGCCTCCGAGTCAGCCGTGGAAGCACATATTCATCCTCTCCGCGTGAGTTAGAGTGAGTACTAGAATTCACTGTTCTTTCCTTTTCATTGTTTATTTAAAAGGCGAAACGTTATACACACAACGCAGGGCTTCAATTAAGATTCCATTAATCTGATGAATAAATAAGGGGATGCACCACTTTGCTTTCAGGACCCACAGCGTAGCATCTCTGACACATTGCTGGGCGTCGACGATGAGAGGTGATTTGGAGAATTCGTAAATAATGCAAGCGACTTCCAAAGTACTCCAAATTAGATTAGACTCTAATTGTTCCTGGGAAGGTAACAGTCAGCTCCCACTAAGTTGCAAGACATCTTAACCATGGCTTTTTGTGTTGCCATCGTAGACCGCCTTCCAGGTTGGCTTGTTTGTTTCATTGTTTAATTGGCACCACTTGTGCAAAATTGAGAAAATGAGTTTCACACTTACGCTATTTATGATAACTTTAAAACATGCTTAATTTATGGAAGTGGTCAGGAGATATTCCGGAAGGGTTATTGCTTTAGCACTTTCACAAGGTGGCATTGATGATGCAAGTTCTGGAAAGGCATTATAAAATGCTCAGATGTCTGCTTTAATTCATATTTCATCATCTGATTTCACTAGAAATCAAACATTTAACGGAGATGCCAGGCGTTAGCCCCGCAGTAGGACTCAAAAAAGTAACTAAACTCGGTTTAATGCAGGCATTTCACAGATGGAAGAATGTGTCTCCATAACCTCATATATTTTTAAAGGCTGCACTTTTTTGTAAAGAGCATTCAAAATATGCCCAATGCAGCATGAATCTTTCGTCTCTCTTGATATATTAAATGATATATTCATTGTAATATTGAGGTTACACATCAACTCTTTCAAAGGAGAGAGCTGGTAGCCAAGTGTGCAATTCGAGGAGTTGTGAAGTCTTCTCAAATGACTGAAAACCGGGTCAACAACAGTACTTGAGGGGTTTTTTGGAACTCTTTTTGCAAATGCAATTGCCTTTTTTACTTCTAGTCCCCCCCCCCTGACTCACACACTTTTGGGGACTTTGAAGGAAAAACAAAAAACAAGTCGCATTAAGCTTTACGTTCACCATATTCCCTTACCAAAAACCAACATCTTTCATAATCGTTTTTAAATGCTCTGTCTTGGTAGTGAAAGAAACGAAAATGCTAAAGGCGGAATAAGTAGAAATGGATGACCCCAAGTCTTACCTTGAACTGATTTGCCTTACAAACCATCCCAAATCGGTACTACTTTGCCAGAATTTTTGACGGAGATTATGGTAAACTGTAAGATTTGCAAGTGCTTGTCATAATTATTTGATCTGATTAGCAAATTTTCATCAAGAAATGATGCGAAATCTTTTAATGGTAGCGTTTTTCTACTTTTTACACAATTGGACTTTTCCGCCATCAAGTATTGCTTCTTAGCGCAAGACTTGTAGTGTGCAGAAGTACTGAAATTTCGAAGAAAATTCATCCGAAACCCTGTTTTGAATCCAAATAAACAATAGCCTACCTAGCTAGCCTCTGTCTTGGCTCACTCGAAGATTTGATGCGCTTTGATGTACTGTTCATGGATTAGAGCCTTTTCTTTTTGCCTCTTTCACAAAAAAATTGCTGTCAAATCAAGTGCAACTTCTGGTGCAGATATTTGTAGCATCGCCAAGCGCAGAAGATGGTGTTTCGAGGAAATAGCTCGACAGCCTTCAGGTATTTCAGCCAACGGCAGGCAAGCCGTGAGGACAGTTTTGCCCTCAAGAAATTTGCAAAGATACCCTGAACAATGTCTGAAAATATTTGTTCAAGCAAGTGCACGTAAGATGATCTTTAAGCAAACGAGTCTTCATGAAACAAAGGCAAAAAGTGTCGAGAAATTTCTTTTTCGACTTCTTTTAATTTTTGAATCTGAATTAAGTATCTTGCAAAGGATGGTGCTGTAACGTAGCTATTTCAATATCCCTCCAATTTAAGCTTCCTAAACAATTTTAAGTCCTACTTAAAAGTTTAGTGTGTTTATTGAATCATTTACAAGTGAATCCATTTCTGCATTTAAATGTGAATTAAGTCATTCAGAATCCCGACTGAGGTAAGCAGAAGTAAGCACTTGGCATCGTCTCCTGCCTTAAGGGAGTGCCCTTGCACACTTGTCAGCGTAATTGTACTGAAAAATGACATTATATTCACATCATGGCATGCCCCATGAATATGAGGAATCTTACAAATAACCACCTTTTACTAGTTAGAATCTTCACCAAGAGTGTAATACAGTTGGATCGAATGACTGGAGTCTGAGCTCGTACAAAACCCAAGGGTGGCCTTAAGTCATGACTGAGTTTCCAAATTCCACTTTTATGGTAGGATTTACCCCACAGATATGAGCTTTCTTTGCCTGTTCCTGAAAGAAGCAGCGCATTTCCTGCAATGAGTCTAAATTTGGAAGAAATGAGCCCACGCGGGTACGACCCTCAAGTGTAGGCTTTTGTTAATAGGAGGTAGGCGTGTTTAAAAGCTTTTGAGAGCTTTGCCAGCTCTCAATAAAGTGATATATGCCACAACTGCAATTGACCTATATTTACGAAGCCAGCAATTCCCCTCTTTGTTTTAAAGTTTCAAAATTGTGGGGGTGAAAATTAAGTTAATCCAGTGCTCACTTCATTTACCAATTTCCTTCTATACTACACATTTCTCATTATACCTTCTAGCCTAAGAGGTAGCAACAGATTTTGTTTTACACATTTCTAAAAGTATGATAATTCATGACTTGACTTCTTACAAATTTGTGATGTAAAGTCTGCTTAAATATATGACGATGCGATTTAATCAATCGCATCGTTAGCAGCTGTTGTCCGAGGCTGGGTAAAATTTATTGTAATACGTTAATTGTTGTTTAACTGTCGGTTTTGGTAAAGGGCTACTTAAGGGCTGCGCCATTGTACCCGCGCCAGGCGGCCTAACCTCCGCGTCAGAAAATGCATATATGTATATATTCAGTGCGAGTATGCTGTCTTCTTTCGCATTCAGGGGAGGCTCGGAGCTCTACCGTATTGACTTTGGATAATATTAAGGAAATGGTGCATATAGGCATAGAAGAAAATTCAAAAATCCCGAAATTTTCCTAAGATATCTCCTTTAAGTGAACAGTTGCTATCTGTTTGTTTACAGTGCCTCTAGTGGCTTAAAAGGGAGGATTTGAACTAATAAGGGTAATTTTGCTACAGTTAATTATTACTAACCAGACCTTTAACCAGAGCATCCTAAATTAAAAGCCTCATTTATATCAATGGACGTCTTTTTACATATAAACTTAATTTTGATTGAATTTAGTCCACATTACTGTCTTCTTTCTCGGTGACGTAGTAAAAACCCCGGGATTTTGGTAGAATGAACAAATAAAATCATTTTGATTTCACAAGTAGTTAGCAAAGCCTTCCGCAAATGCCCTATCGAAAAAGTGCCTTCTCAGCATGTAAAAATTTCGTCCTCATTAGTATCTGCCTGCATTGCTTCGGTTTTAGTCGATGAAACAAGTTTTCAGCTAATTTACGACCCGATAAGCCGATCTCGAGTAGACGGCGAAGCAATAAAAGGTACTTAGTTTGTTTATGTTAAACATTTCTCTAAGGTCATGGCGATAAAGTCAACGAGGGTATCTGGCACAACAATCTGTTGCAAGTGTTTACCAATTTCCCTTGCCTTGGACAAATTTCACCCTTAAAACTACATTACTATAGGAAAATACACAGTGTTTATGTAAATATACAATCAAAAGATCGTAGAGGGCGGTTGAAAATGGGAGTGGTTACTTAAGTTCTAAAACTTTTGCTGTCAACATTACATGTAGGCAATGTGTGTTCTATGTCAAATTCTGGCAAACATTTTGACCAAGTGGTGTCGCAAGTAGTTTATTTGGTTATAAACCAACAAACAAGATGTCGGATGTTCTCGAAATGAGAACAAGTCCTTTTTTAGGCCCTGAAATACTTAACTTCAAAATGACCTATTTTTGTGGGATAAGACGCTTGATTTACCCCTGAGACCCTGGTAAAGAATGTGTTAAGGTTATGTTTCGTTTGCGTCATACAGGTTACATCTCATTATTCCATCGATAAAGATGTAGAGCAAGATAGACATTACCTTTACATCGGGGGCAGCAAAAGGGGTCCCAGAAGATGCGCTCGTCGGGAGGGCACTGGAGTTCTTCCACAGGTGTGCAGGTGTCAATGCAGAACCAGTTACCGTTGATGCACTGGCACCGCTGATCAACACACTGCTGCTGTCTCAACGCCACCTCACCGTGTTGGCCTGTCGGCGCTGTGCACGATTCAGTCGATGACGCTCCTGTCCTTGAGACTATGGCTACAGGATGATAGCTCAGCAATATGCTGCCAATAAAGTCAAGTACTATCTCCATCTTATTAAATCCGATTATTCTAATTTCTACGTGTGTCAATCGTTATTGATGCTATTTTTTATAGCAAAATGGTGAATGGACCCACTAGTTTCTGTAACCTGACCTGCACTGTAGAGGGAAGAAGCTGTGCTTACACTACAAGTCTGACAGCCCATTTTTGCGTCTATAACCGGTGGACTTCCATATTTCTGGACGCCGTAACATTTAAAGAGATAATTCGCTTTCCACAACACATTGGTGCAGTGCCATCTTTTTGGAAGGCATATTCCGCTTGAGAATATCACTTTTCAGGTATTCATATTCACAAGGCGATTTTTTGTAAAAGCTCAAGTGAGTCACCAAAAACAGTGCTACTTCTGTGCTTATATTTCTTTCGAAAAGCTCATATTACAGAAAATAATGGCTTTAGCTAGGATTTGGATAGCAAATGCAGCAATGTGGTTAATGCTTTGATTCAGAAGTTCGGTTCTTATCCATTTTCATGTAAAAACGGTTTTACGCATGAGATCCACCATCTGACTAATGCAAATAATGATGCTTCAAAAGCTGTCGTAATGGAACTTGGCTATGCATCTCACCCGCACGTAAACAATTACTAGAATTTGATACAGTTAATGTAACTATAATAACCGCTATTTGACACGTATCAAGGAAGTAAACAAGCTAGGCATTCGCCGAGTGGATTCCGATATGCGATGTAAGCAAGCTAAAGAACATGAAGCATCTAAAAGTTTGCCGCCTTTCATTCTTCTCACAACATGAATTTCACCAGTACCAGATGTTAGGGTTGTCACTTTTTATTAACCAAAATGAGGTACTGTTAAGATAACCAAGTTGGGCTTTTAAAGAGTTCGCCGTACTAATCCCGCTATGAAAGATGATGGCCTAAATTTCACATTCTACTTAGGCGGTTGCTTGCTGAAGTATCACTCGAATTCACTTCCCGCACTGCTTTTTGGAATCATCAAAACGCATTTTAGTGCTGCATCCGTGATAAAATTATTTTATTGCTGCAAAATCTTAACGTTAAATCATATGATAGTGCCCATAGCAAAGGCTTATTTTATAGGTCCTATGTAATCCATGCAAACAAGGCTGCGATTGAGGTAAGCACCTTGTGAATTAAAAATGCCTGATGCTGTTGCAGGCTTGTAAGCTACAATAAAATGGAGATAATGTGCCTGCTTTTTTTTGAGGCAATTAAAGCGACTTAGCAATGCACGCTACAAAGTCAGTATCAATCTCTTCTAATTTACATTTAGACAATTGTGCCCTAATGCTAATAGACTACTGTCAACTAAATTGTAGAATCGGAAATGAAGCACACAATTTGTACCTTTTCAGTAGGATTTTGGGCAAAGTCACCTTCGTGACGTCATGCTGAGGTTACCATAACAAGGCTGTTCGACGGCCACTTGTATGGGCTCTTAATATGCATACCCAGGAAACAGACTGGAAAAGTGCATGACAGTAAAGTGCAAATTCATCACGCGAAGATCAAGTGTTTATCCACGAAAAGAGGAGGATGTTGGTCGTCTGATTAGTGGTAGCCATAAGCAAAAGTTACAATAACCTGCTGCGCAACTATGCACAATGCGTCCTAGCTACAATCCTTACTTGATTCCACCAAAGTAATTGGTAGTCCTGTTTATTGTACTCCTTTCAATGGGCTGTGATCCTCGCAGTGTCCATAATTTTGTATAATAGGGTTTCCAGCATGGATACCTCTCCTACTAGGTAAGCCCACTCTCATAACCCTGTTCAGTTTCCGCCTCCACTTTATCGCAAAAATCACCATTTTAACTGTGACATGGTCTGCTTGGCTTTGTAAGCAACTCCTTACTGAATTTTATCTATTAAAATTTGCTAAAAAATATTTCATTTTCGAAGTCGCTCCACAGAATAACATCTATCCCGCAAGGCATTGGAAGTCATCATTAACTGCCCAATTCGTTGCTTTTATATAGTGCCTTTATTATTTGGTTTCTATTAATGTACAGTGAAATGAAACATAGTTTCAGAACTAAGTGTACCTTTGGATTACCGAGCAGGTCCGTCGAAACAATTTGTAAAAGAATATATTTCCAATCGATTTAAATTGCGATTCAAAAAGCTAGTGACCTCAAGTTAATTTAGTCACCGGATTCGCAGATCTATTTAAAATTTTGACAAAAACGAAAGCATTATTCATAACTTTTGGAAAAGTTAAGAATCTACTTCCAGCAGACTCCCTTAAGTATTTTCACTAGTTTTAAAGGTAATTAATCCTGCAAATTCAGCCCCGTTTAATCTAAGACCCAGCGGTCAAGAAGTGGATAAGGCAAAGCAACTTGAATTGCAAGGAAGCTGCCAAAGCCTGAACAGTAAGTTGAAGATTTTCAGTTGCTTTTAAATGTACTGCAGACAGCTGTACGCATTAAGTCGGAGTGACATTGTTAACGTCACTCTAAAAACGTCTTTTCCAGGCGCATATTTTGCGCGCAGAAAACACACGAGTCTGGCAATGATACCTGCCGTAGAAGTACATATCATTGCTAATTACTGTCAGAAGAGTGTGTTCTTTATAACTGCTACTTAGCACCCGCACTTTTACCCGTCCATTAACGTGTCGTGTGGTGCCAAAACAAGTTATGCTGGAGGAAAGCCTGATAAGCACCTCCTGAATACCCAGTCCTCTAATGGCTGACTGCTCACTGCTCCATTGTCGCCGGGATCACCAATCTAGAGCCGCTGAAGTAACTACTCTGCTAATGAAGTTGAACTTTTCAAGGGCCATGCCACGGTATCAATCCTCAGTCCATAATACTACGTGTTTGAAAACTCACTACTTCACCGACTGTAGAAATTAGTCACTAAAACACTTGTTCGACCCACCCTTAAACATTAAGAGTTGGGTGGGAAAAATAAGATGAACGCCTCTTAGTCATCTACAAAGTTGTGGACCGCATAAGACATCGCTGGATGAATTCTGTGCAGAGACTCATGTGCACGAACTTGAAAATCCATTTAAATTTGTGTTAACTTCCTGGTAAAAGTCTTCTTTTTAGGTGGGTTAGTGGTTTTCGTAGCATTTATTAGATGCAAATTAATACTTATTTTACCGTATTTTAATTTGATAAAAGCTTAGTTAACCCGGCAGTTGGGATTTCCCACTTTTAGATTTACTCGTGTAAGAGGTAGCTTCTAAAACTACTATATGCATGAAAGCTTTGTGTGGTTTCTTAGACACCCAAGATGCTGTTCCTTTTGGAAAACTAACCATGGATAATCCACCAAAAATAACAAGCAACATTTAAATGATCGAGCTTGAAAATATTTATTCCTTCATCGTATAGATTATCACATATAAATTCAGTGTCAAAATCTAATTTTGTTGTATTCTTTTTCGCAGTAACTTAAGGCGCACACACAACCTTTATGTATCTTGAACTTTCTGGCATCGGTAGTTTTTAATTCAGTTTGTTCTTTGCTAAAGCAGTCATCAACTTTCGTATACCAGGGTAAATACAAGAGAGATCATGTGACCATATTAGATTATTAAGACCATTTGCAGCGTTTCCGTCGGTTGGTCAGTCGTACAGACACTCCAGCTTATTAGTTTTATGCCATTCAGCTAAGCTTTGCTTGGATTAAAAGGCAGACTGAAAATTTGCGGCCACTAAGGAACTAATTACAGCTCGAACTTTAACTATAAAGTTGTATAAGTTGCGAATTCCCTTGACTGTGCAATAATCACTCTTTAGTCCTATTCTTCCATCGCTTAGAAAACCATCGATGATTTCAGATCCTGATATAAACGACGAATGCAACCGTCTAAAATGCCTAGCAGTGCGATAAAAACGGGATAAGTAAGGGGAGAAATGAGGACTTACGCTCGCCGATACACTTGTGCTCGCAGCAGGGTCCCGTGCTGACAAGCTTTTGACCGGGCAGACAGGAGGACTGACAGTGAAGGACGCTGCTCTCGCAGTCCGCGGTGCCATTGGTGCAATAGCATTTGGCGCAGGCGCGCCCACTCGACATCCACGACTGACCGTCGAGGTAACGGTTCCCTGAGTTCTCGTCTCGACAGCCTGCATGTATTCAACACAAAATCAATTAACTGAAGTGAAATGACTTTCCCTTCGACATTTTCTTGGGTAAAAATATGTTGGCGATTCTCTTTTACTGCAACCAAACCCATGTTTCATGTATGATGGGTAATTATACCACTGTCGCTGGTTGGTTCCTCGCCTCTTGCGCAATTAGTCTCTAATTTTGACAGCCTATACGCGTTTAAGAGAGAATTCGTCAAGCTTGACATTAGTTACATCACTCGCAAGAGCCTTTTTGGACTAAAAGATGATGGGATGAGTCTTTATGATAATACCCATTTGGGAAATCGGGCGATCTGATTTGCCGCCCATCGAAGATTCTCGTATCAGTATCCCATTGTTCGATTGTGAAAAAAGTAGTTTTTTTTCTAAATGACCAAACTGCTGATAAGCTGTACCTTTGCTTTCTTTGTGCCTCTTACATATGGTAAATCGAAAAAGGAATTCTATTTATGACTTGAAAATAGGATTAAGGGATGTAATTATAGGTGACTTCAACTAGTAGAGCTTCCCCCTAACAAAGGGGAAAAGTCTGTTTAGAATTCAATAACTTTTGGCTTTTGGGTCTGCAGGGGCATTTTAATGACCATGATAAGGTCAACATTGGCTAACCTTTATTGTGCGTTATTTTGAAGAGAAATAAAAACGAAATAAGTGTGGAAAGTTATTTATGCTGCATAGAGACAGGAGTAATCAACTTTTACTTGGGACTAAAATCAAGAAAAATGGCCTTTTTTAGAAGCAAATACAGGAAGAGGGATAAAATATTCGTTTTTTTTGTCCTTTTTAACTGACTCAACTTAGATGTGAATTTCATGTGCCAGTTATTCTGTCCAACATGCAGGCTAGGCACAAAAGCTAACAATCTTGTGATAAAATTTTTGCAAAATAACTGGTTTTGGCGCCTGCATTGGGTGTGTGAAGTCAGAACGTTTTATTTAACCTTAAAACCTTCAAAAAAGCCTTTTCAAGTTGATATAATCGGTATTTAAATAGGCACTGTGAAGACATTAATAAAGTGGGCTTTCTGTTCAGTCAAAAATGTGAAAACTTTCAGCTCTGCGAGATCCCTGTGGCAGATAAAAAGAGGAAGTTGCCCACAAGTGAACTGTTAAGCAGATGATGATGTGCAGGATGCGTTTACTTGAGATGATGCGCAAATCGCTGCCAGAGTCACCTCTCAGCCTTCAAGTTGGCGATGTCTAAGGTGAATTGTGATTTAGGGCTTTAATAAATTACCTTCAAAGCGCACACGACAATGTGTGAAGGCGTGTCAGTTGTACTTTCAAGGGTTTACAGGATACAAATTCAATTTTCACCTTTCATGAGGAAGCACAGGTAATCACAAAGGCAATTAGCTAAGATCCGTTGCCTCTGAAGAAGTACAAGTGCCTTTAAAGAGGAGTCGCACTACTTAATTCCGGTTTGAGCGCTAAACTAAGAAGTGTACTAAGTTTGCTTAACGCTTTGCAAAGGTGCAGAAAGGGGTCTGTTGCCATGCCTACTGCGAATTGCATGAAGCCAGAGAGCCAGAAGCAAGTTTTACTCCATTATTAGAAAATGAGTGCTGATTTAATAACGGCTTTGATCTTTGGCAGAGATTCAATGCATCAAATGTCAACAACAGTTCGTGTAGTTCAGCCAAATGCTCCCCACCTGAATTGACTGCTCAATGTCATGTGTGCCCTGTGACCCATGCCTCAGATGAGTAGAGCCAGGATATTATTCATATGGTTTAAAATGAGGGTTCTACTCAACTACTTACAGAAGGGATGATCAGAAAATGGGATTCTAGTTCCGAAAACCATCTTAAAATCCTGGACTTTGGTGTCACTTTTAGTTTTCCTGTTATGCTAATTTCGGCAGGCCGGTTACTTTTGCCGGTGAGTGGACCTCTACTTGACAGTCATTTAATGAAATGGTAGGCAAAATTGGTTATGCAAATAAGGAAATTTGAGGCGATTCCAGTGGAGGCAATTAGGTTTAAGAGATTAGCATCGTTCAGAGGATGGAGTACCCCAAAGTGGAAGCTATTAATGAAGCGGTAGAAGGCGATTAAAAAGCAATTAATATTCGCATGGCGTTGACGTCTGAATTCACATACTCCAATAAAAGTCAAACAAATTTTATTTGCCTAAAGGTGAAAAAAAACTAGCTTTATTTAACTAGACGAAGGCCGGGCTCCCTCTCTTATGATAAAGTTGGACGTATGAATGATAAAATGATCTTCCTCGTGGTAAGCGTTTTACTAATGCATATTTATTTTAAGAAGTAGAATAAACTAAAAACTTCGGACCTGTAAGGCTTGTGCACTATTCGCAATTTTTGTAATTTCAAAAAATGTACCAAAACAGGGTAGGTGCCTACTTAGCATACTTTTAGTTCATCTGACCTCATTTACTTAGATATGGACCGTAGATTCGCTCTTGACTCCATACCAACTTTTGGGCCAAAATAGCCGCCGATAGAAGTATGATGTTTCTATTTTTTATTTTGTCAGTCTTAAATTTCTTGCCACTGGTTGAATTAACAGGAAGCGTGCCAGTGGAGAGCTTGTTTGAGTCCCATGTCACCGTGCTTGAGCGGAGTGTGTGGGTTGCCCATGGAGCCCCATTCTCTTGATGCCACAGCCACTGCTGAGGTATAAACAATAGCATTCACAATAAAAATAACCTCTTCTATTCTGTAAACAAAGGGAATATGGCTGCAATAAGGAAAAGCGATTGCAAGCTTCCTTATTTTAAAGATGTCTACTTTAAGCGGCACACAACACTTAAGTCTGGCCTTCTTCACTTGTCAAAACATCGTTTGAATGGCGACAGGTTCGCAATCTCTTCATCCGCCTGCACAATTATGAATTTCCACTTTTCACGGCCCATTAAAACTGTATGACCTAAATTTCTTTCATTTGAAGATATGGGAACATAAATACTCAATCTCATGAATTTGATGAGCAAACGAAATCCGACCCGGATGACATCACTAAATCCCAGCGTTTACCCTTGTGCTCTGCGATTATTCCGCTTTAAGTTAATAGCTTCATGCACCAGACCTTGGCCTGATAGTAGAGTGTATTTTCCTAGCGTGAAGTAGGAACTCTTATTCACTAAACCTCATTTCACCGACTGCTAGGCGATTTCCCATCCACTTATTACTATGCACATTAACTGGTGAATTCAAAAGGATACGTGGAGCATATTCTGAGATTTTTTAGACCTCCCATGGTACCTCTTTAAAATAGTCACTCTAAAACTACTCCATATTAGGTCACTGCAAAGCTTTTAGAAATACACTTCTAATTCCTCATTCAGCTAGCAATTGTGAGGCTATTTTACTCATATAGCGGGCTTGTGAAATAGGGCAGTAGTAGCAACCATTGCACAGCCAAAATATATCATTTGGTTTTGGGGAGATTACTTCTCTATAAAAAACTCCTAAAATGAAGGAGAGAGACTGGTGTATTTGAGTCGCCATCACCTTTTGATGGAGTTATTACCCACTGCTTCCGGTAAACGCGATCCATTAACAAAACATTCCCGGCATTTCGCGATGCTGCTAGAAAAATGAATTCTGTTTATAACAAATTAAGACAGTGTGAAAGGAGAACTTTTAAGCAAACCAGAGGTGAATTTCTCAGCATGTAATCTTGGCACTTTACATTTCGTTCATTGTTTAGGTTGGCCCTTTTTTACTGGGGATAGTTTTAGCTATCAACGCTTTAACCAGCGTGTTAACAGCCACAGAATCTGGCGATATTCTCATGTCATTACCAAGAAAGGCATCAGGAACTGAGGTGGTGCTAAGGGTACTTCAGATAGATGAGACAAATTGTAAACTCACCACTCGGCTGAAGTAGTTACCTAAGAGACGCAAAATCATAAGGTCTTATAACGCATTGTCGATGACAGGAGACGTGTTCCATCAGTATAAAACTACACGCGGTACTTTAAGGTAACTAAGCTGATGAGAAGGAATTCAAAAGTGCGCAGTCCTTGTTTACTTTAATTGCTTCTCTCAATGTGCCTTTGCATCACTTAAAGAGGCCTTGCGTTTGATTTGAGAGAGCCTGTGAACTCTGGAATAATGTTTTAGATAGCAATTCAAACATCTTTACTGTTGATATCATCTATCTGTTAGTCTCAGAATCAACGATAGAGCCTGTAAATTCACCATTCATTCATGTGATGATGAGAGCCAGAAAACAAACTTGCTGCTAATATCAGCAAGCGCAATCACAAAAGTTGATGAAAAATTTCTTTTAACACCTCCGAGAGCAAGAGCGATCACGGAGTAGAATTAAGATAATCTAACTATTTGATGATTTAACTGTTATCCACACACTTTTTGATCAGAATATTTATTGTAAACCTTTTAAACCTTGAACGGCAGCATGTCACGTAAAGTTACATTCTGATCATAGCTAGTAAAGCTCATTTATTTTCAGAATAAATGTTTGTGCTGCGGCCTAAAATACCAAGTACAGCAATTTCCACACTTTCCACATAGGTATTAACGGGGAAGGAGGCTGTTCACAGGTATCCTGGATGTTTTTTTTGAGGAAGAGCTAGGGGAAAATATATCTCTTGGGAAACAATTAACTCTGTTAACAAATACGCACTTGAGTGTACGCGCTTCGAGGTGTTGTATTTCGAGATTGTGTGTGTACACGGTCATATTTGCACGTGTTTTCCACGTTAATGAGCTGAATTGTGAAATACGAGCCGCTGCAAATTACTCCGGTGCAACCGAAAGTGTCGGAAGGCTATTCAGGAGGTGCGGAGGTGCAGCTGCCTCGCGCCTCCGTGGCTACTTGATTTGCAGAATGTTTACACTTAGGGCGTTTGAGAGTCCAGGTCAAAGGACAGGAAACTTCTGCGATTTTTATTGCAATTATTGGCATTGCGCATTATTCCAGTTGCTGACATTTAATTTGAATTTCCTGCAAACTTCAAGCACCTTTCTCGTTAAGTGCTAAATTCTTCAGAATCAGTGGGATAGGAATTCAATGAGATTCAAAATATAAAGCTTGTTTTTTGCCTCTGACTGCATTTTGTGGTGTCTTTCAAAGCCCGACAGGGTTATCTCCTAATACCCTTAACTGTTTGAGATTGTTGGCTATGTAATATATCCCTTTAGTAAGATTAGCTGCTTTTATTGTTCTGAGATTCAATTCGCTAATACTCAAATTAAACAAACCTGATTTTTGACAGAGGACTGTGCTACACTTGGAATTATTTTGGAAGATTTTTTGTGGATTTCATGAACACTGCTCTCTACCCCAAACTATCTTCAGAACTTCCACCTCTTTGAAAGACTTTAATTCTCGTCGTTTCTCAAAACGAAATAGATCTACATGGATGAGCTCAATGGATAGGTCTGCAATGCTAAATCATCAAAAGAAACGGAGCATCGGGAACTATGAAAAGAGGGAGTGGGCGAGGGCAGGGCATTTGTTCCTGCGTGGGAGAGCTGAACCCTGTCGAGCGATCAGTTGTGCACGTGTGTTTGTGCGTGGGTGTACGTAGGTGCGGTGCGGTTCAGTGTATATACATATGTCCACTGACTACCCACACACACAAATGCACGACCATTTTGATCAACAATGCGCCTTCAGTTTGTGGACACGTCTGCTATCACGAGCGTGTGTACGTATTTGCGCGAGCAAGCGCAAAAGTGGTGTGTATACACGTGATCATGCAAAAAGAGGAAAAAAGGTCCTGCTATATTTTTAGATGTGTAGGGCCATCTTCCTAGCTTTGCTACTGTTGCCACTTCTACTGCTATTGCTACCCTGCCTCCCTCTGCCCACCTTGCCCAAATAGGTGTAGGTGCTGGATTCCCCACCATACCCCTGATTTTCTTCACTTATTCGTCATCTGTTTCACTTTTCCCCAGAAGAGGTCTCTCTCGCAGGACATCAAGAGAGTTTGGGTAGGTTGATTTACCTAGTGGGCGACAGGGGCAATCATCTTATTCACATGATTGTCTCCCACCCTAGGTGCATGTGGTGGCCCATGATGCATTGCGTAGGTGATGGGAGTGTTCCTAATTTTTTACACAGGAATGATGGTTAATGATGTCGCCTAATTCAACATCAACTCCTATCAAAGACAAAATGATGATGAGAAATGTAAATTCTAGCATGAATCGGACAAAAAATGTTTAATAAAATTGCCTCCTTCCTGCCTAACAATAGTACAAGTCCAAAATAGCTTTTGAGCTCACCCTAAACCTGCCTCGAATTTATACTTTCCATCATATCACAATCAGTTTTATTTATGAAGGTGGCAAATATTGAATCACTAGTTTCCTTTAGATTCCATGGAAACACGTATTCCAGTGAACTCTCAGAAGCTGATATCGGCTCTTCGCCTGAAGAAATAATATCAATCTCTTCATCAAACCTCAGACACCTTCCAGCACTTTATCTCTTTTCTGAAAAAAAGTGCTTTGTGCTTCAATCATTGTTAGTATTCTAATCCGCCTACTCGTGGTAAGAATCCCATTCTATCCCAATTAGTGATGGGTTGTGCATTGACAAATGGAATTTAAGACTCAGCATTACACAGCCCTCTGTTTATGAAAAAGAATAATCCAATTTGTTATTTGTGGAAATAGGTTTATGAGAGGGTGTAGTGGTGCGCAATTAGCGGAAACTTCTTCCTTCATTTTAAACTGTGATGCGATTTATGGATGGGAATTCCCAGGGGTATTGGGCAAAGTAAGTGGTGAATGACTTTAGTGGAGGAATGTTCCACCCTCTGCCTCCTGGATGGTTGAGTGATTTTTACGTGAGTAAATAAAACTACCTTTGGGACGTATCACTCAAAGGAGATAGTGAAAAAATGCAAATAACGTTCAAAAAAGCCAACATTTACGGCACAAGAACAGATGTACAAAAGCACTAAAGGTCAAGTGGGAAAATTTGGCTCAGTCTTACAGCTTGTGGCTTTTTTATCTATAGCCGTAAAAATTTTTGAGAGTTTTTTTTTAACTTCATGCATAAAAGATGGAAAGTATGCTAAACGAGGACTTACTCCTTTCCGGCAATTTTTCGGCTTTTGGTTTAACATTGGCATTTCGTTTGGGAATACCTCTGTAGACCAGTGATGCGAAGGGTTCGTCGCTCTGTGACAATGAACTTTGGCCTTCCTCCGTATCCTCAGTGAGGTTGTTCTCACAGTTTTCGTCACAGAGGCTGACAAGGACATTGCCAACGGACTGGCAGGAGCATTGGCACCCTGTGGAACTTTCCCGCCAGCTGGAGAATAATCCATGCCTCTCGCCTTCTGCATCAAGGCAAAAACCCATCGTCTTATCGAAAATGAGGTTTTCAGTATCCTCTGCAGGAACATTTCCGTCGGAACTCTTTGACCTCTCCTCCTTCAGACAGGTGACCTTGGAGACAAGACAAAGTAGAATTATGAACACAACGAGGGATTTTGAGGATTTTGGCTTGTGAGAATGGCGCAACATTAGTGAAGCAGTTGCGAGAGCCCCTAGATTGCAGAAGGAAAACCGACGCTGTCGTTTTCGTCGTCGGCATGAGCTGACAACGTTGTCGTTGTGAGGCGGAAAGATATTTCTGCCAACTGCCCAAATAATTAAAATCTGAGCTTGGGAGGTTGTCAAGGCGGGGGAAGAGGAAGAGGAGGTTGTAGAGGAGTCTCGATGCAGTCTTTGCAGTTGGACGGCAATAAGGGCTACCTTTGGCTGGTGATGGTGCATTGCGTAGACTGGAGCAAAGTGCGTCTCATTTTCACATTAGCAGGAGACACGTCATTTGCTCGTAGTCTTCTTCGCCTCCGGGTGTGGTATGGAGTGTGCGTATGTACGCGTGGTTCGTGTGTCTACTTGTGGGTCTGCGCTGCTATTGCTAGAGATGTTTGTTTTGATTTGTGCTATTTCAACCTACGCGACAGATGCACATCTCTGAAAAACTGTCACAGCAGTTGGTTGTGTTGCACCAGCAAAACATGCGATTTTGTGTGCCCAACCGGTGCTATTTTATACATATAGCAGGTGATGATGCGTACGCCACACCTGAGGCCCAATCAGCACACCCGACCTACAAACAGCCAATGAAAAACTCGCATCTCCTGAGTCAGCTTGATGAGTTCAATTTCAGCACCAATGCACCCGTAGCACAACTCTCCGTGATTGGGTATTACGTTGTAAAATATTATTAAGTGTTTGTAATTGTGAGCCTATAGGAGATTATTCACTACTTTGAATGGCGGCAGATAAACTGTCAAAACGAGTTTTGCACATTTCCACAGGTAATTATTCCTATAAAAATGGCATCAGATGTGACCGCTCTCAACTTCACCTCTAATTTAGTTAAAATTTTATTTTTTGCCTTTTTTTAATCTCATGTTTTGTTAAATTCTTATCTACTTCTTAGGTACTCCTCGAACCAATCACTATCCTCAATCAAGAGTAATTTTCCTTTCTAACTGGCAATCACTGTTAAGTAGGAGAAATTCATACTTTATTCTAATTTTGAGCATCTGTATGATCCAGGAAATTTCCAATTTTGGTGTACCACTATGAAAATTTAACATTAAAAGCAGCCATAAGTGAGATTTTACAGCACTATTTCCGGTCAAGCGCAATGGTTAACTCTTATGTAGGGCTTTGCCCATCCGACATAACATAGAAGGCTGGTAAATTTTCCAGTTATAAAGAGAGTATTTTTATTTTGATATGTGCATTGAATGTTTGGAATTCTTTTGGGCATGTCATTTGCAAAAAATAGAACACATGGTGGAACCGAAGTATGTCGAGATGTGTCATTTGGTTCAGGTGGCATGAAATTTCAAACCCTGATTTGCGTAACCTTAAATATGTTTAAGTTTCTAAACAATTACTCTTTATAAATTCACTAAGCACAAAAAAGTGGGATATTCTTACCTTTCTTAACCTTTTTTGTCTGACTGCTTCGTGAATTGCTGAATTAAACATGAGCTCTGCTTGCTAATCTGTGGGTTGAAGCTTCGCCTTCTGAACTAAGATAAGGAAATTTTTTGAGCAACATTCTGCACATCAGATTGTTGTTGAATTCCTCTATCTTACACCGAATTATAGAATGATGAATTTGAGATCCATGTTACTGCTACATGTCAAAAATATCGTGGAAGGCTGCCAATGTGCGCCAAAAATAAAATGGTCAGAAAAGGGTTGTACTTTGGTGAGAAAATATTCCCACAATAACGCAAAGATAGAAACATAGACTGAGGAGGTGCACAGGCAATTTTGATTCATCATTTCAATTACTTACTTCGTCAGGCAATGTGTTGGTAAAATTTCCATAACGTGGTAGGAGAACATGGATAATTGACATTTGTTTCACATTCAATGCATCATGTATTGCCTTCTTGAAAGTAGGGTTAAATTTTAATTGAGAAATTTGGTTGTATGAAGATTTACACTTTTATTGATGTAGCGTATATCTGTAGGCTTTAAGATATGATAATTTATTTTGTCTTGATATGAATTATGGGTAGGAATCAGATATTAAGTTCGTAAAGCAGGCGTCTGCAGTCGATGCTTTGGGATGGAGATGGATTCTGCAATAGAGGGATCAAGTGATTGATGTGTTTTCGCCGCCATGATGAGATTAAGCGCCTCGATGTTTGCCGTTTAGGTAACATTGATCTGGGTAAAAATGTCCCCATTTCAGGTAGAGTTTCGAACGCTTTCGGGACGTTCATGCGATTCATAAAGCAAATCATGAATAACAGTATTTTCTTCCACATACTTTAAATGTCAAGTTGTAATATCTTGATTGATAGGTGTATGTGTTTTTGGAGAAAAACTTCTAAGCAAAACTGGAGATTCAAAACGAAGCGTCCAAATTTCCCACCACGCACTGATATCGAGACAGACGGACTTACCCCTTCCCATGGATGTTAGTCACTAGCATTTATGCGGGTAAAATAGTGCAAAGTATAATGTCCTAGCATTACTCTTCGTCTGCCATACTTTTATGCCCCATTTTTCAACCAGCAAATCGCAGGTGGAAATGCTGTACGTCATGAAGCCTTGCTGATGGCCCCACATCTATGAATTAACGTCAAGACGCCAATGCGAAGATGGCTGGTGTACGAGAGTTTCACCCTAATCAAATTGATATTTTCAAATGTTCAGGTAGTAGCAATCATAAACACGCCATTGATATTTACCTACTTCTTTCAAAGGGTGGCTTTGAAAGGTGTATCTTGATCCTGGCAAATCGAGTTAGCGATTGTCATTCCCAACAGTGTTATCTCCGTTTCGCATATTGAAGCGCCACAAAAATCCAACGAAATCGCATGATACCTTTAAGTCATTTTAAAGCAAATCAACGTTTCTCAAGTGGCAGTTTTAGCGTCGTCTTTAATTAAATCATGCACTTTGTGGATGGGAATTGTATTTTTAGAGTTGGCTCACTATCATACGAATTGTGTCTTTTAAAGTAATTCTTGACATTCAACATACACTTAAGAAATATTCTAGCCATAGCTATTTCAGTTGCTGCCGCTCTCCTTCCTGTTTAAATCCCGTTGGCCAACTGAGGAGGTGAAAAACTGTGCTTAGTGTAGGTAGAAAAAAACTACAAAAGTATGCATAACTCCTCTACCAAATCCCTTTCGCCGAATGACTTTCACTTTTGGGAATGCACTACTAAAACTCACTGCAAAGCAGATGCCATTCCCATGTTGTGCATTCTTCACGCTTGAATGTATACAAGCCCATTTGGACTTTTTAAACTAATTATTTACTTTATGTGTCAACAGGGCTTAATACGCTAAAGGCGTTAACATTCACTTCCCTTTTTCACGTAAACTTGAATGTATCCAAGGTCCAGCGTCTTCTCTGATACCCGGGGCAGATCTTGCCCCACCAAACATCATTCACCAGTTATGCGAAGGTATATAGGTGTACCGTGGCTCTTATTTCAATTATTCTGGCTGCAAACAGCTGAACTATTCATATGAACTTCAATTTACAGAGTTCGCTCAGATGGTTTTATAACATGTTATTTATCATCCCCTTTGTTGACTAAATCCCAAAAAAAAGCAAAACATGTTTTGCTAGCGAGAGAAGTGTGAGGATCCTCCACACGTCAGAATCATAAGTAGCTATCCCAAGTTAGGCCACCTGTGTCATAAGCAGCATAGCAAAATGGCTTTAAAAGGAAAACACCTCCTTCAGTATTCTTTTCGATAAAAATGTGGGAGGAGTTGAATGGATGCTGGGTGATGAAGTGTAGTATATAAATGGAACGGAAACGTATGTTAGTCACCTACTCCTTCCACACTGTGCTGGCTGGCACATTTGCGCGGCAATTTCTCTTTTCTCACGCTCTCTCTCTCGTAGGGTGATGCTACACAGCATGCCACAACACGTCAAACGCATCGCACGCAAAAATTCATCCTCTACAGGGCGGATTTTCGATGTGGCGTGTAACATGCTTCCGTGGCCTCTCCTTAGCAGAGAACTACTTGCTATGAGACAGATGCGAAAGGGCGATGCCACGGAGCTATATAGATAAGGTGTTGTGCTGTATAGTCGCAATAGGACAACCAGTCTGATATAATCGTCTTTAAAAGGGCATGTTTCTACCAAAAACAGTGATCAGTTTGCATTCTTTTGGTATACTAGACCAGTTGTTTGCATATCACGGGGCTTAAAGCAAGTATCAATACAGTAAATAAATGTACGATCCATCAAACATAAAAATGGAGTTTGTTTTTAAAGGCAACAAAATTTTTTTCCCTTGCGCTTGGAGAGGAAGCATATTTGACCAGAAATCCACAACAATAATTTTCCATTTTTTCTAACTTGTAAATGCCGCCGATGGATACCCATCTGCCGGATGGGCGGTTTAGCGGCCTGTGAGGAGGAAATCCTGAGCGGGCTGCTTGAAAGTGACACTTTATAGCTAGTTTTTCCCCTAGCACAAGGTATAGTTCGGAGACTTCGGTGTTTGTGTTTGATAGGATACACACCCAATGATCTCCTCCGCAAAAATGTTGCAATTTTCCCCTAGTAATAGGCTAGTACAAGCACCGTTTCGGGTCGACTGAATCAGTGGAGGTTTTCTTGCACTTAGATTAACACAACATCAGCTTAAACCTGTTCGGCTTAGTTAAACAAATGTTTTAGAAATGTTTATGATAGACGCTGTCGAATGTGACACCAAAATACAGGCCTCTACTCTGGTATTCGAGTCGCATTTCTCGTCGAGATACCATAAAAATATCGAAGATTTTAGTAAAAGCAGCCAACTATAATTCAAAGTGTAATGTTTGGATATTTAACTTCATTCAAATAATATCTGAATGCCATAGACGTGCGCTAATTTAATGGATCTATTTAGGAGTCGCAAGCTTATACAAATTCAATACGTCAATCGTTTATTTGGAAGGGGCAATCTTCTCTGGACAGCCTGGGCTGTGGGATAAGCCAGTAGCCTCAAGGTCATGACTGGTGTAGAATACAATATTTTTCCTTTATCAAGCATTTTTGTAACATTTCTAGTCCACTGTGTCTCGGTCTGTGCTCTTTATTTGCTCTAGCTGTTGTTTTTTAAGCTACTTTGATCACCTTCGGACTGATTTCGGCACCACATTCCCTTTCAAGCCACGATTTTACAAATACCTTCCCTCCCGCTAATTCTTCTTCATTTCTGCTCCGCAGAATCCACCTTTTTTGTCTCACCTTGACTACAAGATTAATCAATG